CTGCTCCAGCCTGGCTCGCCATAGCCTGTTATGTGGGGTCTTTTCTCTTCTTCCCTTCACCCTGGGGGAGCTTCTGCATTCCTGGAAAAATGCAGTGCCCTTCTTCCCCCAGAATAGGATTCTGTGCAGCAGGGAAGGGGTCCTATGTGCATCTGACTAGTCAGCCTCATCCTTCCCAAGCATCCTGGTAGAAATTAGAGTCAGTTTAAGTTACCACATAGACGCATTCTGGGATGGGGAGAAACGTGTGGGCACATGCATGCGCGCGCGCGCGCGCGCACACACACACACACACACACACACACACACACACACACGGTAGTCAGCAAGACTGGGAAGAATCTGGTCAAGTCCCTGATCCTACTGAAAGTAGTCAAAATGGCAGCAAAGGCATTATTGGAGAGTTATACACAACAGAATCATTTTCATGTTAGTTTTGACCTGGGTTCATGGAAGTCTACTCAAATGCTGTCCACAAATGCTGTCTCCCCTTCATGTAAATGTACTCTATCAGTGGGATGCGTGTAGACATAGGGCAGGAGCACACGGCCTTTAACGAGCCATTCGTTCTCTATTTTCCCTAAAGGAGAGAAATGATCTCAGGTGATGAAAGCTACTGTTTACCCATCACCACTGTGCACTATGGGCCAGGTGCTGAATTAGGTGCTTCCCTTAGAATTGCTGTATCTAACTTTCTTAGTCCTGTGAGGCAGGAGCTGTCCATTTTACAGATTAGAATGGTAAATCAGAGAGACGGCTGGTCATTTGCCCGAGGGTTACACAGTGATAAGTGCTGGGAACCAGACTTGGAACAAGGGCCAAACAGGGTGTGTATCTTTGGCCCCAAGCCCAGTCCCCTCATTTTAAAGGGCTTAGCAGCCTCAAGGTTTAGCTTATCTCCTGTAAATGATTTAGAGACGCAGAGTTTTAAGGTAAGCACTCTAAATGTAACCTGAGAGTCCTTTATTCAACCAGACAGTACAATATATTCAAATCTACCTAAAGATTTACTTTCTGACTTGATAGTGGATTTTTTTTTCCTGAAAAACGATCATTTATGTCTCTAGCATATAACTAGCACACAAAGCACTTCCATATAAATCATGAGCTCATCTGAGTTCCTTTGGCAGGTGATGTTCTATTTTATGGAGGAAGAAATGGTGCTTCAGAGAGGCTGGAACCTTGCCTGGGGGTCTGGGGACAGAACCCAGGAGGAAGCTCTTGGGTTGGGTTGTCTGAGGTCTCCACCATCTCAGATGACTCTGTTCCTGGGTCTTGGGAACAAAATGCAGGGGAGGCTTCAAACCATCCATCAGATCCAGAGGCAGCTGACAGGCCCAGAGACGATTCCGAACTACAGACAGGAGGAAGCATGGCAAATGGACACCAGGAGTGTGGGCTCGGGTGTCGAACAGTCGGGGTTCAAATCCTGACTCTGCCAGGGACCAGCTGGTGAGCTGGTGTTTGACTTTTCTGAGGCTTAGTTTCCTCATCTGTAAAACTGGATAGCAACTGACCCTCCCTCCTTAGGTGACTGTATGTATGTGTACACATACACATACGCGTGTGCGCACACACACACATACACACACAAAGCAGAACGCAACAGATCCTAAACGGGGTTGAAATAGAGTTTCGGAATTTGGCTGCCTGTGGGCTCTGTGCTTTCCTGAGGAGGGAAAGAGGCAAAGCGACTGCTTTTCCAGGGTAATGACCTTGTGAACTAGGGCGCTCCTCAAATCAAACCCTCTGTCAGTGCAGAAGAAGAGGCCCCTGGACCTCCCCCACTGTGTGCTGGTGAAAGGTAGTCACAGTGTGTGCTCAGCACGTGTGTAACAAGAGGACAGTGGGAGGACCGGGCACCCTCGATCAGCTCCTGCCCGCACAAAGTGAATGGGCCCGGGCACTGTTCTCGGGCACTGAGGAAGGGGGTGACTTAGAGCGCAGCTCAGCACACACACTCATTGCCCAGGAAAAGTGGTCTCCTGTCCACTCTCCTCAGGAAAGCACGGAGCCCCCAAGGCAGCCTGGAAGCAAATTCCAACGCTCTTGCTTTCACTCTGCTCAGAATCTGTAGCTTTGGGCTTCCAGATTTTACGGAAATACATTCCCACCTGAGGTGACTTTTTAAACATTTCCTAGTAAGTCTATGGAAAACAAATCCTTTCCTGCCATTTGTAGTTCTTGAAATATCTTCTTGGCTTGGTCTTAATTTATTTGGGATATTAATTTTCTGGACACCAAAATAATAATTAGCACGGCGGTGAGCAGAGGGAAGCGTCTCCCACGACTGCACCCAGACATTTCTGGGTAACGTCATTCTTCAGTTTGATGGTCCCGGCTGTCTCCTCCCCCAGCCTGGCTTCAGCACTGGGAACATTCCCACAAGATGGCACTGGTGGGCCTCTCAGTCCGCGAAGGCTCCAGCCAGCTCAGCCATCACCAGGAGAACTGGAAGCTGGTTGGCCACTGTGGCCGAGGGCTGCTGGCACCTGGGGACGAGGGTGCCCCTGTTCCCCAGGAGTGGCTAATTGTCACGTGAGTTTGATAAAGATATATAAAACTCAGCTCCAGTGCTGTACATACAAATCTAAACCCAAGAGAAAATAACCCAGAACCTTATTCCTTCTAAATTCAGTATATGAAATTCATAATATTTTTCAAAAGAGCACAACCAGAGGTGCTTTTCTAGGGGAGAATGCTTGAGCTGGTGTCCATGCCGGTCTAACAGCACCTTCTTTGCAGTGAGATGGAATCATACGACTAGGATCAGAGTCTTCAAATCCCGCTGGGACAGCAATAGCTGCTCTGTCTCCTCCTCAGACCTGCTGCTTCCCAGGCACTGTGACTTCAGGACAAAACCGCAGCCCAATCTGTTCTTCTGGGCCTGGGCCAGGTCTGGGTCTGTGTGGGAAGGATGCTCTTGTTTGAGGGTTCTGAAATATTCCTCCTCTCCAGGTGGCATTCCACCCACAGATATTTGGTTAGTTGTTGATCCAGATATCAAAACTTCACAGAGATATATTTTTCTTAGTTAGGAAAGGCTAAAACCACAAGTTCTGAGTGTGTGGGGTGAACAGGGCTCATCAGTAGATGATGTGTTCCACACGCTCCACATGTAGTGTGAGAGCCACAGACTGGCAGACTGGTTGAAAGAAACAGGAACCTTCATTTTCTTTGTAGACACGGCTCCAGAAAGCTCCTGTGCGCCCAGCACTCTTCCCATCCCAGACCATCTCAGCATCTGGCATGTGGCTCTTCCCTCCCCTCTTCCTGCTCTTGCTTATTCTACCTCTTTCCCTGGATGCAAAGAAGGGGAAATAATGACAGGAAGTGTTAATTACCCTTCTTACATCTTACGGATTTCATATGAAGTGATGGTCCTGGGCCAACAAGAGTCTCAAAATTCGTCACATATATAGAAGCGACCACATGTGAGGGGCACAGCCCAGGCAGTGCTTCCTGACATGGGCCAGGGAGTAGAGGGTGTGGGGGCCTCAGCCTGGTGCAGAAATCCCAGCCATTCCACTGCCATCTCTACAGGAGTCAGAGACGATTCATAACCAGAGACAAAAGCAGTGTCATGGCACATTTGAGGCTTGGGCTTAGGAAACAGATGGTTCTGGGGTGAAATCTCCGTTCAGATGAGCAGCCTCTCAAAGGCTCAGTGTCCATCTGTAAGATGGGAATGATTCCTCTTTTGTGGAATAGGAAGTTTAAATAAGATATTCACTGCTCTTGGAATATGCCTCCACTGACGACAAGTTCCTGTTTAGTGGCGATAAGTAATGAATTAGTTTCCTATGGAAAGAGTCTAGGCATTGCTTTTTGTCTTCTAAAGCATAAGACTTCTTTTCTCTCTCTCTCTCTCTCTCTCTCTCTCTCTCACATTTATTTCTTTCAAGGCTGGGGACTTTCAGAGTTTCTCAGGGTTTCCTTGGAGAATGCCAGCGTGACCACCTTGCGTTTCCTCACTCCTTTTTTCTGAGCACTGCATCACGCGATAACGCAGGGTTTGGGGGCATGACCATGAGAAATGGCTCCCCCAGCACCAAAGAGTGGGAATCCCTGTCCACCTCTGCTCTCAGTAGCCTGAACAATTCAAACAGTATAAAGCAGCAGAAAGGACTGCTTCCTCTACTTAATGAAATGTTTCACAGAATATAACTTTTAGGAAGAATGTAGGTGATCATTAAAGGCAAGGGACGCATTAAAAAAAAAGTATGCGTGCTTTACTTCATGACAGTGCAGAAGACACTGGGGGCAGGCCTGCCTAGGCTTAGCTACAAAGCTGTATGGTGGGGAGAACTTGGCTGTAGATGGGCCACCTGTAAAGATGCTAGATCAGGCGGTGGACACAGTCCTTTGCAGTATTCACAAGGGCTCCTGACACTGCCCTAGGAGGTGCCTGCTCACAGTACTTTATTACAGGGTTAGCTTGTTACAACAGAGAGCTGTGTGGCTGTCCAGCCCGGCCTGAGGACAACTGGTATGATTATTAGTCTGCATAATGATCATTTATTTATTAAAAACTTTACTTGTTGCTTGATTTCAGTATGTAACATTTACCCTTAAAAAGGTTCCATCTTTGATTCTGAACACGTCCATGCTTTAGAGTCATTCTTTGGAATTTCAATTATGGGGACATGCTGGTGACTGCGTCATGCTGATTAGACAGGTGCTTTAAAAATCACTCTATTTATTTTCTGTATTTTGAAATACAATCTTCAGGCTTAAGGGTCATGTATTAAAATGGTGTAATTTTTGGGAGAAGAGTGTCCATGGTTCAAAGTACAAGGTATGCATTTTAAATAGGATAAAACTATGATGGCTCTAAAAAGGAAAATGATCATGTAAGTAGAAAAGAATCCAATAAGACAACTGTTAGTGGAATTCCTATAGAAAGAAGTACACGCTAATCCAATACAGACACCAAAAAACTCATGTGGTCTGAGTCTACTTCCATCTCCGGAAGCACAGGTGGGTGACCTTAAATGGGACCAGCTGTGTCTAGGATGTTTTCATGCAGAACCCGGCAATAGAACTAGAGAGATGCCAGAGTTTACTTGCACTGAGGATTCTTTCAGCCATGCATCTCATGGAGCATGGCCTGTCAGAACCATGCAGAGGGTAGGTCAAGTCAGGCACACTGCATGATGGACAAGCGCTTTCTGATTCCTCTGTGACTGGATTCACCAGCAATTGCGTCCTCAATCCACCTTTCCGACATGCAGCAAGGGAGGGAGGTGGCGAGCTGAGAGCACAGCTACTCGCCAGCCAGTCAGCCAGGGTGATGCCGTTAAGTGTCCTCAGGGGTCTCTGGGTCTGCAAATTCAACTGCTGCCTGATTGGAAATGCCAGCTCTGGGAACCCTCCTAAGGCCTCTCCTCAGATCATACCAAGCACTTGGGCTTTTTCCAGACTTAGCAGAAAAAAGAGAGCAGGATCAAGTAGGCAGAAAACTAAACCCACAACCAATTCTGCTTACTTTTCAAATCCAGCTAGTGAGTTAGGATAACTCATATTCAACCCAACAGCCCTACCTTCACCCACGTTTATAGCAAACACTGCGGAGTGTTAGAATAGCATGGGAGCACAGCAGGGTAGGTTGTGGTACAGACCGGCATCAAAGTCCCCTAAAGTTTGGGTTTCAAGAAATGCACTGTGAGCCACTAATTAAAGTCTTCACTCATTCCCTGACATTGACTATTCATGATGTCCTGATATCTAGTGACTGGGTCTCTCCTGGGTAAATTAATATTCAGGGCCCTAAGGTTTATTGTGGTGTATTTATTCATTGGTTTCATTCATTTATTCACACACATACTATACATATATATGTAGAGTGTCATTCTATCTCTATCTATATATCCATCATCTGTCTACCTGTCAACAAAAGTTCTCGAAAAAAGGAATTTGGAGTAAAGAGACTATTCAAGTGAACAGTTTGCAAACCAGGGAGACACAGCCTCCAATCTAAAATGAAGGTGTGTTCCAAAGAACAAAGGTAGGCTTGAGTTTTAAAGCAAAAGTTCCCACCCAGGTTGCCAATTAGGTCTGTTTATTCAAATAAAAGAATGAAATTTGCTTAGTTCTGACTGGCTGATATAGCTGAACCCTGATTGATTGGTTCAGGTGAGCTCTAAAAGTCCCCAAGATAAAAAGGTACAGGTTTGCGGGGGAACTCAGAGTATCTGTATGATCCTAGTCAGCAAATGGCTAGGCTCTATTTAAAATCTGGATCCAGTGAGCCACTAAGGATCTATGCTGGAAGACTGGCTCTTTCAGTTTCCTATTTATTCACATCTACCCACCTACCTACCTACCTACTTACCTACCTATCTGTGTGTCTCTGGTGTTTGTAAGTGCCAAGCATGCCTGCATTTGTACAATCTCTAGAGCACCTTCTACCTTTTCCAGCCTGTCCAGTTGCTGGAGGGACACAGGAGCTTGTCTCCACGTCTCATCACTGTCACCTTCCTCCTCCTCTCCACTAACAGGCATTTGTATTCACACACTGTATAGGATGCTGGGTTAGGGACTGAGGTGAAGACTGCTCCTAGAGGGCCCTTTAAATATCAAGAGGACAACAGGCCACACCTGTGAGGTTTACCAGAAGTTAATGTGAAAGTGGGTCACCATGGTTTTCTGGAAACATGGGCTGTCTCTATTTTGATGTGGCCAGTTTCTGTGGCAACCACATGAGAACTAAGTATGTTCTTACTGACAGAAAGGACTTCCACAAGCTTGATCCTCCATCAGGGACGCGACTGCCCCCAGAGCTGTTCCTGAGGACAGGCAGGGAAGCACAAAATCTCTGTGAACTTGGCCTTTCCAGAGAGGAATGAAAGGGCAGGAGCAGGACAGAGGGGAAATGCCCAGTGTGTGCTGCACTAGGCCCCAGGCCCACGGCTCTCACTCCCCTGCTGCTTCTTCCAACGGTTCCCTGGGTTGTCCCCTGCCTTGAGGCAGCTTCTTTTGGTTTCCATGAGAACAGCCAGATAACATGCTTTACCACCAGAAAATCTCACCAGTGAAGCCATCCATGTGCCTTGTCATTCACAAAGTGAGGAGGCAGATGCTGGATGATGGACAGAGCAAGCTGTGACCTGGAGCGCTTCTCTGCCAGTGGAGATGCGCCTGGAGGGGTGGCCCATGGCCACGAGCAAGAACAGGGTAACTAGAAAGGGGCCCTGGGTGGGTCCCTCTGCAGGAAGGACATGACATGCTTCTAGGGATCATTAGGGCTCAGTGGAAACTTTCCATTTAAGACATCAGAAGGGAATTTGTTTGTAGTGTCTAACCCTTACTTTAAGGTGGTATGTATGAGTAGCCATCTACACAACAGCCTTCCTTCTTCCACATGGCTGGGCAGGTAAGTCCACCCATCTGACTTCTGAGGCCCACTGAGAAGTGACAGAAAGTGCAAGAACAACACAGGTGCATTTCAGGAGAACTGCCACCACCATCTCTAAGGACAGCTGCAATCCACCCTGCATTAATGAATTCTAGTTCTAATTAATGAATCAGGATGCAAACTAAGGTTGGGGACAAAGGAGGAACCAGAGGCTCTTGATTCTCCTTTTCATACCTGTTAGGACCTGTAGGAGGGCGAGTCTTATTAGGGATGGGAGAAGGGGAGGACATTTTCAGTTGAGGCACAGGTTCTAACGGGGGGGCTCTCAGTGGCACTGTGGGGCCCCAGGGGCAGTGTGGATACCTGGGGCATGGTGGCCAGCATGCACGGATCTGTGCTCGCACCGTGCCTAGGCGCTTCTATCAGGTAAATATTCACTGAGCAACCACCCAGTGCCTGCCCAGTGCTGGGTGCTGGAGACCAAGCCGCGACCACCCAGATGGGGCCGGCCCTGCTGGGGCATGAGGGTGCCAGGCTTTCTACAGGGTTATGGGACTCAAGGCTGACTTGACCTGCTTTGCAAACTAACCCAGGGCCCTTGTTTCTCTGGGTCACGTGCTATAGGTAAGATGGTCCTACTCTTTTACATTTTGTTATCTCAAACCAGAATACTGCCCTACCAGTACAAGTCTTTGCATGGACAAGAGAGAATGTGTGAAACCAGAGCTATCCCAGAAAGTCTGGACAAGTGGTCCCTGCTCTGAATGGCCGGGTGTGAAATGCCTGTGCCTGTGCTGTCCCATGCATCTGACAAGCAGCCTGTCACCTTAGAAACCAGAGGGAAGAAGCCCACAGAGAGGCGGACACCCAGGAGGAAACCATAGCATCTGGCTGGGGCATGTGGGTACTTGGTCAAGACCTGAAGCAGCCATTGGCTATGAGGGTTTATTTCCCAAGGAAACAAAGAATGTAGTGTTTAAAGTGAGACTCATGCACAAAGCACCCAGAGAAAAGTCATCTGCCTCTGTGCTGCTTGTTTCATAAAGGCAGGTGAAGATGGAATGGCAGCACTAATTCAGAACACTGATTTAAAAGAAGTCAGCTGTATCACAGAGGACACAAGGCAAAGAAGAGTTCTTTTCAAGCTCAAGATGCAGTCTGCTGCTTTTCCTCAGCATTTACCTCAATAAGGAACCAATCTGAATATTTTTAAACGCAGCATCTTTATGGTTCAGTAGCAGGGCTGAGATCGAGCCCTAAAATGATTTTCAAGGATATAAGTACAAGCATACCGTGCACTGTAGTTTCCAATAATGATTGCAATGTCAGATGACACTGTATTTGTCTTCTATCATTTTCTTAAAAAAAGAAAAAAGGTCGAGGGTGCAACCAATCCCTGCCATCTCCTCTCTGGCCAGTAGAGGGAGAATGAACTTCATTCAGGGCAGCAAAGCAGGCCTCAAGTTATCCCTAGGATGGTGGCCATGTTCCTGATTCCCTGGGACAGTCTGGGTTCAGTCATCTGTCCTGGTGTTATTACTAGGAGTGCCTTCTTTCACTTTTAAAGCCTATCAGACTAAATATGCTGTATGATTACTCCAAGCTGAGACATGGAATTGTGGTATGATCCTCAACTTTTCTGGGGCTCTTGACTTTCACTTCTCATGGAAGAAATGCTGATTGCCTGTGCTTGGATCGAACTTGATACTTGAGCCAGCTGATAAACAGCACCTTCAAGGCTGGCTCATGTTCTATTTCCATCACTTTCCTGCCCCTCCCCAAGGGCAGGACCTACACTTGAACTTCCCATGTATCACAACACGGCTTTAAGCTTCTGCACGCACGACTCCCCTTCAAAGCCAAGGACCATGGTGGAATCTGTTGTGTGCCCAGCGCCTGGCATACGGTCTGGTACACACACACACTCAACAAACACTGTGAGCACCAAATCACATCACTGATCAGCGACCCTGCCAGGGAGTGAATTAACCAGGGTGCTTAGTTGGAACTGTTTGTTGCTCATTTCTTATGTAACTTTCATGCCTTGCTAGCCTCAAAGGCTTGCAAAAGAGTGATTAGAGATAGTGGATTTATTTTTTTTGTGACCCAACAGTCTGGCTGAGCTGGATCTGTCTGCCATGGGGTGCTATCTGGAGTCGCCAAGCAAACGGGCTCTTCCTCCAGCTTTTGCCAGACTGATCTGGAAGATTAGCTTTTCTCCCTCTTTAGAGGGAGCTCAGGTTAATAGGTACTTCTTCAGATTTTTTCAAGTCAAACTTGAGAATGGTGATGGAACCATGAATTGAAGTTTAAATGATGAGTACATACAGCTAGAAGCGGTAAGGAAAAGAGGGATAGGGTGTCTTATCAAAGACCACATTCAAGAGCTGAATTAACCAATTTAACAGAAAAAAACCTCTTCTGCCTTCTTTACGGCAACTCCTGGCAGCTGCCAACAACAGCTGAATGGCTTTGCAGGACTCTTGCCGAAACCAGAGAAAGACTGAGGATCAAAGGCAGCTCATCCTGCAAAGAAAACATGTCTTTTTATAAAGTGTGATGCGACTCACGACCAAAAAAACTCATGCAGAAGGGAACAGTATCATGCAAGGCGCTTTCTCAGGAGCCCTGGCGCAGACAGACGGGCAACCTTACCCTGAGCACAGATGGCCTGGCATGCCCTGCGTCCTCAGCTCGAGTCTTAAGTGGCTGAAGGATCCAGGTCTTAAGTTCTCAGCTTTGGTCTCCTTACCTAAGGCTACCCCACCACTTCTGGGTTTAGTCATCTGCAAGTGAGCATTGGGAAACGGCCTGTTTCTGTTGATTGCCCCTTATCTCCGAGCACCTGGGAACAGGAACAAGCCTCAGGGCTCGGTAAGGAAGGACTCACTGTGGGTAGTAGGCCACGCCTTACAAAACAGGGGTGCTCCCAAAATAGGGAGCTTACTTATTGGGACACAGAAAGATTTTTTTCCCTGTAGAAACAATATGGATGATGCTTAGGTCCCTCAACTGTCTCAGAAGACATGTAATCCAAGCATAGGCTATGAAATGCTAGTGTGCTGGGCCAGAGGGCTGAGAGCTGGGCCTGGCTGGCTGTGGGCTTCTCCAGAGCAGCCGCCGCCCTGAGCACAGGCCGGGGGTGTCACCGGCTCCCGTGTGGGCAGGTCTATTTGCTGCGCATCAGGTACTTTAAGCTTAGGAACAACTGTGCGGGATTCTATTTTAGTATTCTGGAAGCATCCCTGAGGAAGTAGTCCAGTGAAGCTAGCTCTAAAAAAACTATTTTCTCTAACAATTAAAAGAAATATACCAAAGGACCCACAGGGATGAATAAATTATTGAACTATTAAGAGGCTGCTATAAATATGCAGTGTTAATTCAATAATTCATAACGGACTGGTACAACAAGATTTTTTAAGGCTCATAAAATACTGCTGGCTTTGGCGGCAGCTAGGGTCCTGGGGTGCATGCCAATTGCTTCTTTACACAGCAGCCGAGTGTGGAGGGCACAGGGAGCCTTCTCTCTGGCTGGCTGCCCAGGGACCCCGGGTAGAGGAGAGCACAGGGCCTGTCTGTGGGGATGTACCTTCACGGCCTCTCCACCCTGGCTGGGGACCAGACACTGGCTTGTCTCTATGGCTTCACAAAGAATGCAACAGCAGTAAGGAGGGGGAGAATTCACAGCACTGCACCGTGGTGGAGAGGAGCATCACGAGGGTCGGGCAACCTCTTGCCTGAACCCGGGAACAGGGTGTTCTGCCTGTCAAATACCGGGCCAGCCTGGTGACCTTCATCTCCACAGGTGCCTCTGTACCCCAGAGTTTCCTTTATAGTCCCTTACCTCCTCTGCCTGGAACCCTTGAGGCTATTCAGGTTTCAGAATTCAGGATTCTTCAAGTTTTATAAAGGCAACATGTTATAAAAATCATACATGGTGAACAACTCCGTAGGGGCTTGGGCAGCATCCCATATCCAAACCCATTAAGTTTTCTATAGCCAAATGTATGGATATTACACTAAGTAGGATTTAGGGACTACAAATAGCCTCACATCAGGTCACTTTTTGCCACATGAGTTTCAGTGTGAAAACATGAAGCCCTCCGCAGTTTTCCAAGGGCTCTGGAATGTGTATTTGCCTGCCCTGGCGACAGGGCACTTTCCGCTCACAGCTTCCTATGCGTCTCTGTGCTGCCGCCCAGTCTGCTGCCAAGAAAGGGAAATGGATTAGAAACAGACAAGACAGTAAAACTGTCGGGAGGTAAAAAGATTATTCCTGGATTACATGGAGCTGCCATGGTGAGCTCTATACATCTATCTATATAGAGTAAAATTGGATTCATTCAATTAAGTGAAACCCTTGGCAAAGCAGAATAGAACAAATGCAATCAGGGAATTTCCTCCAAATTGTATCTTGGCCTTTTCTGGGTTAATAGAACTGGGAACCAACAACTGTGTTACCTTTGTGCAGCCTTTCACTAATTTCAGAGCCCACTGCCTGTGGTCCCTCTGTCCTTCCTGTGCAGTGTACGGGGCTGAAAGCCCACAAGCCACACTGACCTCCTTTTCACACAGGTGAGGATGCAGCTTAGAGACAGACAGTGCCTGTGGTCACGGGACCGGGAGGAAGTGGAGCCAGGACAAGCACCTGGGTCCTCAAATTCTCTGGCAAGCTCCGGTCTTCCCACACGTTGCCTGCGCAAACCTCAGAACTGTGGCCCAAAATACATCCTGCCTGGCTTTTGTCCTGCAATGCAATTTGAGTAACCTGTGGTCAACTAAATTCTGGAAACACTACTTCCTGTATCCTCCTCTCAGAGACTGAAATGCCCCTTAATGTACTGGGGCTCTGAGCTGTCTTAAGGAAAGCAGATTAACTTCATTTCACCCATTTCCTGAATGCGTTTGAATAAGGAAGCCTTTTGGGCAGAGCATCCATTAGCATCGACCACTGTGGCCCACGCTACAGAGGGCCGTGAGACATGTACTAAAGGCAGAGTTTCAATTGTGTTCCGTATTTTATGTAGAGGTGAAGGTGGCTTATACATTTTGCAAAGAGTTGCACCTCAAAGGCTAAAGAGCAACCACAGTGATCGAGCAGGAGGTCCTGGTCCAGGGAATCAATTTCTCCATCCTCTGTCTTTTTCTCCACTACTGGGTCACGTGCTATTTGGCCACTGGAATGACAAGTCTGTGTAGCTGAAGCCTGGGCTCACTCCACTGCTGTCCGAGAACAAGGCTGTGCATTCGGCCCCAGCATTTCAGCTGCCTTGTCATTTGTGATAAAACAGAAGAAGTTCCATGTGGGGCCACATGCCCTCGCGGTATGCACTGTCTGGGCAAAACCGGGCAGGTAACAGGCATTCTTCATGAAGAAAGGAGAACTCAAGTTTGGTCTAAGATGCCCTCTGTCCTACTGCAGTTTTCCTTCCTTACGCAGTATAATCTTTCATGGGGAGAGGAGCAGATTGGTCAGAATGCACATTTCTATATACTACATAAGCCTTCCTCAAACATAGGAGCCCAGCGATCTGTGTGTTACCGGCCCCAGGTGCTGCTAGCGCTGCTCGAGGCTGACGGCCAGGCTCTGTCATGAGTGGGCAGTGCCCACATGAAGGGCAGCCTGGGAGGTTCCGTCACCTCCACCTTCAGAAACAAATCAGGGAAAAATCGCTTCCTCAGGAAACAACCCCTCCCCTTCCCTCAGCTCCAAAACAACCCAGCCCCAAAGCCTCAGGGAGAGGCATGCTGGGGCCCTTCTGAGGGCCTGCTCTTGGCCACCAGGCCACACGGAAGCCTTCACAGCCTCTATCACACCAAATCCCCTGGAAAGTCCTGTAAACGGGTATCACAGGCCCACCTCTGAGATGAGGAGCTGAGGCTCAGGGAGTGGCAGTGAACTGACCCAAGCCACAGAAGGGCCCTGGCAGAGGAAGGTTTACTCCTGTCCTTGCTGTGCTTCCCGACCGCATTGAGAGACCTCCTGATAAACATGTCCACAGTGCCAACACAGATAAAACCATGAGGGGCCACAGAAGCCTTTCATGGGGCTTAGGGGCCACAGAGGGCGCTGAGTGAGGTCTGGAGGCCCCTGGCATCGGGTCTGGAAGCATGGTGGGATGACGGGTGTGCTCTGGAGGGTGCAGAGGAAGGGACGGGGGTCCACACTGATGGAGGGGCTGGTGGGAAGCACAGTGCCGGGGAGGGTGGCCGGAGAAGGTGCCCTGACTGCGGGACATGCCCTGGCTTCTACGGGCAACACAGCAAGCAGGCTGGGAGTGTTCTTCAGCCCTGCACCTGTGCCTGAGTTCCAGTCATGGGGCATCAGGGACACCATGGAGCGAGTGAGAAGCAGGTATGAAAGGGAGGGGCAAATGGAATTGTTTGGGGCAACTGAAGGTGTCTTGGGCATCTACATCAAGCTGCCCAGGTAGCAATAGCAAGCTGAGCCAGGGGAAGTGGTGAGGGCTGACGGCTGTCTGCAGATGCACGGTGTGAAAAACTGGCTGAAATGAATTTACCCTGGAGCGTGTTGTGTGAAGAGAGAGGGGACAGGGAGAAAAGGCAGTGCAGCTAATAAATAACAACTGAGGGCTTTAATTAAACATCAGTGAATCTAAGACTTGAACTCTTGAAACAACTGAAGCTGTCAAACATGAAATAAATCTGGCCATGGGGTCCACTCTTCCATGTTTTGAAATGAGGGGAGAGAAAAGGGTTTTGCTCTTCTGTACACGGCAAGGGGAGGGTGAGCGGAGCAGACCTTGGGATCAGCAGGGCCAGGAGCAGCGCATGGCTCCCAGCTGGCGGCTGAGGTCTGCCCACCCGGGGTAGCCTGAGGCTTTTACCTTCATCAGAATTTCATTCAAACTTTGCCCTGATGCCAAGCGATCCAGGTCTGCATTCACTCACCCTCTACGAAGGCCAGCCTCAGAGAGGGTCGGACTGGAGACAGAGGTGGTCTCACTGGGGCCTAACTGTCCTGGTTTGAGGAAGGAGCAGTGTTTACAGGATTCTCCTAAGAACTGCCCCCCACACCTGGCTCCTCCAGTGTTTATGCTCTGTGAGAACCATGATTTCTATGCCCTCTTACTCTTTTGCCATTAAAAATCCTCTGAACTCTGACAGTGCTTCCTCTATTTCCTGGAGTTGGTGCTTCTTACCACCCTGCCCTCCAACTGTCTGTCCCCATCTTCCTGATTAGACCTCAGCCACCTCACTCTGGGCAGGACATCTGTTCACTCTTTCTCAAGAATTGCTGATTCGCTGGCTTTGTTAATCCCAAGTGTGGGACTCAAGACCAAGTTAGGTTTTCATTGAAAAATGACACGTGTGTCTAGCATTTTGCAAGCACTGCATGGGCACAAAGTAACATACTACGTAATCCTTTCTGAAACACGGGACCAGGCAGGGCAGGAAGGACCTGAGGCAGGCAGCCACTATGCGCCACGCGAGAGGCTGTTCTGGCTGAACTTCACCCCTGCCCTTCCCAATAACACACTCATATGTTGAAGTCCTAACTCCCAGAACCCCTGAGTGTGACTCTACTTGGGGACAGGGCCTTTAAAGAGGAGACTAAGTTAAAAGAGGTCATTAGGGCAGACCCTCACCCAATACGACTGGTGTCCCTATAAGTGGAGAGCGGGACACAGACAGGAGCAGAGGGAAGACCAATTGAGGACACAGGGAAAAGACGGCCATCTGCAGGCCAACAAGAGGGGCCTCAGAAGGAGCCAACTCTGCTGACACCTTGGTCTTGGACTTCCGGCCTCCAGAACTGTGAGACAGCAAACCCATGCTGCTTCATCCACCCAGTCTGTGGCATTTTGTTAAAGCAACCCCAGCAAACTAACAAGCGGCACACACAGCAAGTGCAGAAAGAATTCAGATGGGGGAAGTTCCCAGGGACTGGGGTCATAAGGGAAGATGATGAAAAAGCAGCTTCAGTGGGGCATGGAAGGACTGGTGTAATTCAGGGTTTTGGGGGACTGGGAGACCCCTCCACATAGGAAGGGCGGCAGAAGTGCGGAGGAAGACTGAGCACTGTGTTTTCTGCTGAGTAGATTCCGGTCTCTCAGGTCCTGATTCACGGAAAAGATAGGCAGTGATGTCTGTGAGGAGGGCTGGATAGGGTGGGGGAGACTGGGCAGGGCCTTAAATGACAGGTTACAAAGAGCAGGATCCCAGAAGACCAACATGGCACAGGGAGAGAGTTCTGGGCCAGGGCAAGGCAAGCCCTGTGGGTCTATAAATTGGCTTTGAAGTTGGAGGGAATGCCCTTAGCTTCTCAGGCTTCTGTTATTCAATTGCAGAATGGCAATGTTCTAGTCTTTCAGTAGTTATCAACTTCTCCCCCGGGGCAGTAGATCCTGTTTTAAAACATCAAATCTGAATGGAACCCCAAGATATCAAATATCTAGGTGGAGCTCCTCTTGAAGTTGGGGAGGGAGAAGGCTGAGGTGGACCCAAGGCATCTACTCATTAGTGCAGGCCTCCATATGACACACGCACCTGTGAGCTAGGCTGGAGGAAACCAACCAGCCAACCAACCAATTTGCCCTACAGCTTTTTTTTCTTTTGAGACGAAGTTCCACTTAGCATGCTCTCTCAGGGTGAACTCAGCAGTAGCAGCAGTGCCTGTGACTTTTCCACCAATAGAAATCACAGATATTAATAGTTTTATGTCACATTCCTGTTGTTGCAGATACCCAGAAATACTGTTGACATTCATCACTGCTGCAGAGCGATGCCAGTGATCAGACCTATCAGGAGACCTTGTTATTAAATCTTAAAAAAATAATAATCTAAAGTAATATTTTGATAACTGTACGTCATACTTCTTATGGCAAGAAAACAGGTAATGCAAATGAACAAAAACAGTAGAAATACAAAGAAAATAATTCAAAAGGATTTGCAAATTGAGGAAGCACAGATATGCAGATGTACAGTGATATGATTTGGATCTGCGCCGCCACCAAATCTCATGTTGAACTGTAATCCCTGATGTCAGTGGTCGGGCCTGGTGGGAGGTGACTGGATCATGGGGGTGGATTTCTCATGAGTGGTTTAGCAACATTCCCTGGTACTGTTCCCAGGGCTGTGAGTCCTCGTGAGATCTGGTTGTTTAAAGGTGTGTAATTCCTCCCCGCTTGCTCTCTCCTGCTCCTGCTCTCACCTTGTGAGATGCCTGCTCCCCCTTTGCTTTCTGCCATGATTGGAAGCTCGCTGAGGCTTCCCAGAGGCACAAGCTGCCATGCTTCCTGTTCAGCCTGCAGCATCATGAGCCAATTCAATTACCTCTTTTTTTTATAAATTACTCAGTTTCAGGTATCTCTCCAATATTTGCCCTACTATAGTATTAGGACTAATACATACGAATATACAGATACGCAGGCCATAAGGGTCTCCGTGTCTCCCAGAGTTGTGCCTCAAATGTGACTTTAACTTGCTTGTGCCCAAAGTGCAGGGAGTTACATGGACAGTTGCTGAGTTCCTATTTTTGGAGGAGAGGAGGAGGCCCCAAATGTAAAATGCTGGAGAGGTTAAAGACACAGTAGCCTGATATCCCTTCGGTTTGGTCCTTGGAAGGATGCTGCCATAATTTGCACTACGGAGTATTTGTGAATAGGAATGGCGGCCAGATTAGAGGGCCCAGGACAGCAATGGGAGCCACTTCCCAGCCCATCAGGCTGATAGCCCACCCACCTCCAGCTGCCACTCACTCAGGCAGCCAGGTCTAAACAGCACCTGGCCATAGCTTGCACCACTCCATCTTGGCGACACAGAGTAGAAGCCTGAGCTGCCTGTGGACTCCCACAGCAATATCTTCTGACCCTGAGAAATGCAGGCAAACTGGCAGTGCCTTGTAGGTCAGTTACCAGGCAGTTCCTGAGGACCCAACAAAGGTACTTTTGAAGAAGCTGGTGGGTCATTTCTAGGTATATAGCACCTCTCAGATGGAAGAGAAAAATGCGAAGAAGAATTAACACAATTTTAAGGAAGAAAGTGAGTTAACTAAGGTCTCAAGGAAAACAGAAGTGAGTTTTCTGATGCCATGTAGAGAACGGGCAGGCTGCTCTAGGCAGGAAGGCCGTCAGCCTTGTTTATCATCTGTGCCCCCTGGCCCGGGAAACTCAGCATAGAATTCCAACAAGGAGACAGCACTGAGGTATTTATTGCTTTCTTTGCATATCAGCTTGTCACATGTAACAATTAATTTCATGATCCCAAATTGGACCTGACAGGAAGCCTCCTGACGATACACCATGCCTAGATTTAGCAGAGATAAACACTGCTGTTAATTTCTCCAGCAGAGGATGTGAGTGTCAACCCAGGGCTGCTTTCATTGATTTCCATTTCACTCAACGTGGGCCCACCTCATATTGGCATTGCTCCCTTCAGCTGATAGCTGTGGCCAATTTTATAAGTGTGGTGTCCTAGGGTTGCCTGCCAATCATTTCCCATTTCCAAAGTGATGAGAACGTGACAGGGGACACAGAAATGGAGCCCCATCAGTAAAGAAACAGTAGGCAGAATGAGGCTGGATAAGCCCTGAAATCGTCAGTAAGAAAATAAAATATGACTAAGAGAAATTGTGATTTACAATGAACTTTTCAGGAACACATCTATCATGCAAAGTAAACTCCTTTGAAGTCTAGACATCTGTAGGTAGCAAGAAAAAATAGTATTTTTTATCTGCCTCCACCCCTATACTAAGTGTGATGATTAATATTGAGTGTCAACTTGATTGGACTAAAGGAAGCAATATTGATCCTGGTGTGTCTGTCTGTGAGGGTGTTGCCAAAGGAGATTAACGTTTGAGTCAGTGTGCCGGGGAAGGCAGACCCACCCTTAATCAGGTGGGTACCATCTAATCAGCCATTGGCAAATATAAAGCAGATAGAAAAACATGAAGCAACAGACTGGCCTAGCCTCCTAGTCTACATCTTTCTCCCATGGTGGATGCTTCCTGCCCTTGAACGTCGAACTCCAGGTTCTTCAGTTTTGAGACTTGGACTGGCTCTCCTGGCTCCTCAAGCTGCAGACAGCCTACTGTGGGACCTTGTGATCCTGTAAGTTAATACTTAGTAAATTCCCCTTTATATGTATATATCTATCCTATTAGTTCTGTCCCTCTAGGGAACCCTGAAGAATACAGATTTTGGTACCAGGAGTGATTCTAGAAGAACAGAATATTAAGGGTGGGGTTCTTTCACTGGTTTGGGGTTTCTGGAGTTGGCTACTTAATATGATTAGACCCCAAAATGCTAAGGACTCTACCTCTAATAGTATGGAGAATACTGATAGTCCTAGGCAGAAACTGTTTAGAGAGTTCTGCAAAAATAAATCCATCTGACATTCCTGATTCACCACTTCTGAGAGGCAAGGAGTTTATTGACTTTATATATAATACCTTTGACCAAATATGGAGAACCAAGGAACAAAATGAAGCTGGTTGGTTGCTTCTAAGTTCAGAGGACAAAGTGATGAAAGAAAATTACGAACTCAGGGATTGTCTCCTGGCTTCAGAAGCAGATACTGAGCCTCAAATCTGCTAAGATTGCCCTGAGTGAGAGTCTCATCTCCCACAGAGAAAGAGCTGAAATTGTGGAAAAGCAGACAGGAGGTCTTATCACTCGAGTGGCTGACCAGCAATGAAGGGTGCAGGCACAGCCTCTTCAGATGTCTGCTGTTAAAGTGAGGGCATTGATTGGGAAAGAATGGGGCCCTGCAACTTGGAATGAGGACATGTGGGAGGGCCCTGATGAAAGTGGGGACACTGAGTCTGTAAACTTTGATGAGCATCTCCTGCCTGACCCATGCTCCCACCAGCCTTTTTACTTTTGTTTGAGAAGATAAACTCTGGGCTGCCTGAGGCAACAGTGGTGGCCTCCCCTGAGGCAGTTGCCAGGCAAGATAATATTGATTCTCCCCAGAAGCCACACCAAACACCCCTGCTGGCTGCTAGACCTATAATTAGACTAACATCCCGGTGGGCCCCCAGAGGTAAGGTTAAGAGTGTGACCTATGAGGAGGTGCACTACACTAGAAAAAAACTGCTTCAGTTCTCTAATTTATATAAACAGAAAACCAGAGAACAGGCATGGGAATGGATATTAAGGGTATTGGATAAGCGTGGAAGGAGTTGGATCAGGCTGAATTTATTGATTTGGGCCCACTAAGTAGGGACTCTACATTGAATGTTACAGCTCAGAGAGTTAAAAAAGGTCTAATATTTTATTTGCTTGATTAGCTGAAATATGGACTAAAAGATGGCCCACTGTGAGTGAGCTGGAAATGCCTGATCTTCCCTGGTTTAATGTAGAGGAAGGAATCCAAAGGCTTAGGGAGCCTGGGATGGTGGAGTGGATTAATCACTTTAGACATACTCATCCCAGCTGGGAGGGTCCAAAAGATATACCCTGATTAATGTCTTGTGAAATAGATTTGTGAAGGCAGCACCTGCATCTTTGAAGAGCCCTGTAATTGCTCTTCTCTGCATGTCACATCTAACAGTGGGACCCACAGTCACTCAACTACAAAATTTAAATACTATGGGAATAGATACCGAGGTGGCAGGGGCCGAGTGGCGGCACTCAACCATCAACGGCAAGGTGGAAGCAGCTACCATAATGAACAGCAGAGGCAATGAGGCAGTCAGAATAGTCTGACTTGTGTAGAGCTACGGCATTGCCTAATTAATCACAGTGTTTCTAGAAGTGGAACTGATAGGAAGCTTACTGCACTCCTTAATTTATACAAGCAGAAAACTTCTAGGTCAAAAGATAAAAGACTAATTTGAATTATAAAAAGAGAATCACAGCCCCTCAATCAATTTCCAGACTTGAGCCTTACAACAGACCCAGAACCCCTTGAATGAAGAGGCTGGGTCCTCTTGAGGAAGAACCCCACTATGTTGCCAAAAATTTATGTAGCAAATCTTTCTCCCATCTTTCCCCAAGGAGATCTCTGGTCTTTTACCAGAGTAACTGTGCATTGGGGAAAGGGAAATGATCAGACATTTTGAGGACTACTGGACACTGGCTGTGAGCTGACGATGATTCCAGGAGACCCAAAACGTCATTGTGGTCCTCCAGTTAAAGTAGGGACTTATGGAGGTCAGGTAATTAATGAAGTTTTAACTCAGGTCTGACTTACAGTGGGTCCCTGGACTCATCCTGGGGTTATTTCCCCAGTGCCAGAATGCATAATTGGCATAGACATACTTAGCAGCTGGCAGAACTCCCACACTGACGCCCTGACTGGTAGGGTGAGGGCTATTACGGTAGGAAAGGCCAAATGGAAGCCCTTAGAGCTGCCTCTAGAAAGGCTGCTATTTACTACTAGAAAAATAGTAAATCAAAAACAGTATCACATCCTTGGAAGGACTGCAGAGATTAGTGCCACCATCAAGGACTTGAAAGATGCAGGGGTGATGATTGCCACCACATCCCCATTCAACTCTCCTATTTGGCCTGTGCAGATGACAGATGGATCTTAAAAAATGACAGTGGATTATCATAAGCTCAACCAAGTGGTGACTCTAATTGCAGCTGTTGTACCAGATGCGGTTTCATTGCTTGGGCAAATTAACACATCTCCTGGTACCTGGTATGCAACCATTGACTTGGCAAATGCCTTTTTCTCCATTTCTGTCCATAAGGCCACCAGAAGCAATTTGCCTTTAGCTGGCAAGACCAGCAATATACCTTTACTGTCCTATCTCAGGGGTATATCAACTCTCCAGCTTTGTGGCATATTATTTGGAGAGACCTTGATCACTTTTTGCTTCCACAAAATATCACACTGGTCCATTACATTGATGACATTATGCGATTGGATCCAGTGAGCAAGAAGTAGCAAACATACTGGACTTACTGGTTAAACATTTGCATGCCAGAGGATGGGAAATAAATCCAACTAAAATTCAGGGAGCTCCTACCTCAGTAAAATTTCTAAGGGTCTGGTGGTGTGGGGCCGGTGGAGATATTCCTTCTAAGATGAAGGATAAGTTGCTGCATTTGGCCCTCCTACAACCAAGAAAGAGGCACAATGCCTAGTGGGTCTATTTGGATTTTGGAGAAAACACATTCCTCATTTGGGTATGTTACTCCAGCCCATTTATTCAGTGACCCAAAAGGGTGCCAGTTTTGAGTGGGGTCCAGAACAGGAGAAGTCTCCGCAACAGTCCATGTTGCTATGCAGGCTGCTCTGACACTTGGGCCATATGACCCAGCAGATCCAATGGTGCCTGAGTTGACAGTGGCAGATGGGGTGCTGTTTAGAGCCTTCAGTAGGATCGCATAGGTGAATCACAGCATAGGCCTCTAGGATTTTTGAGCCAGGCCCTGCCATCTTCTGCAGGTAACTACTCTCCTTTTGAGAGACAGCTGTTGGCCTGTTACTGGGCTTTGGTGGAAACTGGACTTTTGACTATGGGTCATCGAGTCACCATGTTAACTGAACTGTCAGCCCATCATGAACTGGGTGCTTTCTGACCTATCTGGCCATAAAGTGGGTCATGCACAGCAGCATTCCATCATCAAATGGAAGTGGTATGAATGTGATTGGTCTTGAGAAGGTCCTGAAGGCACAAGTAAGTTACCTGATCTTCATAAACCCCTCTTATGGGCATTTGAGCCACTGCTTCATGTAACTTACCCTCATAAGCTGCACTCCTGCTATCCTGCCTTCTCTCCCTGAGCCTGCACCAATGGCCTCACGGGGAGTTCTCTAGGATCAATTGGCAGAGGAAGAGAAGACAAGGGCCTGGTTCACAGATGGTTCTGCATGATATGCAGGCACCACCGAAGGTGGACAGCTGCAGCACCATAGCCCTTTCTAGGACATCCCTGAAGGACAGTGGTGAAGGTAAATCTTCCCAGTAGGCAGAACTTCCAGCAGTCCACCTGGTTGTACACTTCGCATGGAAAGAGAAATGGCTGGATGTATGATTATATACTGATTCATGGGCCATAGCCAATGGTTTGGCTGGATGGTCAGGGACTTGGAAGAAACATGATGGGAAAATTGGTGACAAAGCAATTTGGGGAAGAGGTATGTGGATGGATCTCTCTGAGTGGTCAAAAACTAAAGATATTTGTATCCCCTGTGAGGACTCACCAACAGGTAACATCAGCAGAGGAGGATTTGAATAATCAATTGAATATGATGACTTGTTCTGTGAACACCACTCAGCCACTTTCCCCAGCCACCCCCGTCATGGCCCAATGGGCCAACAAACAAAGTGGCCATGGTGGCAGGGATGAAGGTTATGCATGGGCTCAGCAACATGGACTTCCACTCACCAAGGCTGACATGGCTATGGCCACTGCTGAGTGCCCAATTTGCCAGCAGCAGAGACCAACACTGAGCCCTCGATATGGCACCATTCCTCAGGGTGATCAGCCACCTACCTGGTGACAGGTTGATTATATTGAACCTCTTCCACCATGGAAAGGGCAGAGGTTTGTCCTCACTGGCATAGACACTTACTCTGAATATGGGTTTGCCTATCTAGCACACAATGCTTCTGCCAAGACTACCATACACGGACCCACAGAATGCCTTATCCACCATCATGATATTCTATACAGCCTTGCCTCTGACAAAGGCACTCACTTTACAGCTAAAGGAGTGTGGCAGTGGGCTCATGCCCATGGAAGTCCCTGGTCTTACCAAGTTCTCCATCATCCTGAAGCAGCTAGATTAATAAAACACTGGAATGTCCTTTTGAAGCCACAACTACAACATCAACTAGGTGACAATACTTTGCAGGGCTGGGGCAGAGTTCTCCAGAGGGCTGTGTATGCTCCGAATCAGCGTACAAGGTATGATACTGTTTCTCCCATAGCCAGGACTCATGGGTCCAGGAAACAAGAGGTAGAAGTGAAAGCAGCACCACGCACCATTACTCCTAGTGATCCACTGGCAAAATTTTTGCTTCCTGTTCCCACAATATGTTTTGCTGGCCTGGAGGTCTTAGTTCCAGAGGGAGGAACGCTCCTACCAGGAGGCACAACACTGATCCCGTTAAACTGAAGTTAAGATTGCCACCTGGACACTTTTGCTCCTCCTACTTTTAAGTCAACAGGCCAAGAAGGGAGTTAACAGTGTTGGCTG